GGGCTCCTGGTCACAGCAACGCCTGAGAGGAGACGAGGTGGAAAACAAACATTCTCAAACTGAAAAACCAAATGTCAGGTAAGACTGAAGGTTTAGTTTTAATCAATGTTATCAATTAAATTAACTTTAATCCAGACATTTGGCCCCGTGGGTACAACAGAGAACAGACCAGGTCTGGTTCTGGTTCGGCTGTCAGAGGATTCTACTTTGATTATCTTATTGATCGGATTGACCTGATCAGTTTAGGTTAATCTGATTTACCGAGAGAAGGCAACCGGTCTCTGAAATGGATCCTTGTTGTAAGTCCTGGAGAAACACAGCAACAAAAGAAACTGCCACAACAGCAGAAACAACAACAGTGTATATCAGTGTGTGTGTGTGTGTGTGTGTGTGTGTGTGTGTGTGTGTGTGTGTATATACATATATACTGTATATATATATATATAATGTGTGTATACCAGTGCTTGGCAGAAGCTGCTCTGTTGGTTCTTTGTTGACCACAGTCACACCTGTAGAAACACAAGTTACAGTCAAAAGTTACTCAAATAAAAATAGCACTTAGGCTGTGAAATTAAATTATCATCAGCTCATCATTACTCTTAACATACAGCACTTCGAGTGTGTAAACCACATTTGAATGCAGATATCACAACATAAATGTGATTAAATGTTGACAGTGATGGATTTTATCTCCATTGATATTCAAGGAGAAGTGAAACCAGCGACTACCTGAAAGGAAGGAAGTCTATAAGCTGATGATTTGGGACACAAGTCAGAAAGTCTAAATGAATAAATATGTAAATACTATTTCCCGGATTTTACATCTTCATGCCAGTTAACGAAATAGTGAAATTTAATTTTCATATCATGCTTTTCAAATGAATGGTAGTCTAAGCCACTTGTTAAGCTGATTGCTCTGAGATCTCTGTGAAGACGAATGTTCCAGACATCTGAGTGAGGAACTAAATGCCTGACCCAGGAAGTCCGAGGTCAGTGTACCCAGGAAGGCGTCGACCAGCGTGCTGACTCCTCTCATGGCTCTGAAGAAGATGTTTGGCAGCTGACTGTCTCCTCTTGATGCCTCCTCATGGGAGGAAGGAGTCGAAACAACAACGACGGGGCGACTGAGATCCACCGGGTTACTGAAAGGAGATTTACTGAAGTTAGAGATTTAAGAGCATCTCGGGATGCGATTGGCCTATATATATATATATATATATACACACATATATATATATATATATACACACATATATACACATATATATACACATATATATATATATACACAGTATATCTCTCTCTCTGGTAGAGACCTGTCAATCACAGTAAGCCCCGCCCTAAAGCATCCCCTGCTTTATGGTCTGTTTGACTCTAAATGGACCATAATGTACTAAATGAACATCATGCTGTATTGAAGAAGACTTGAAACTAGAGATTGAGACCATAAACTCATGTTTACAATGTTTACTGAGGTAATAAATCAAGAGAGAAGTAGAGTCATTTTCTCATAGACTTCTATACAACCAGAGGAGTCGCCCCCTGGTGGACAGTAGAAGGAATGCAAGTTTTAAGACACTTCAGCATTGGCTTCACTTTTCAGACCCGGAGGTTGCCACCTTGGCTTCACCTGAGCAGGTGCAGGAACCTGAACCAGGTCTGAGGGACTATGTGTTCGTCCATGTCTTCAGGGATTAGAGCAGCGTCTTCATCTGGGACTTTAAAGTGCGGGAAGGATGGACCGAAGGTCAACAGCAACAACCTGAACAGATAACACAAATATAAACAATGAACTACAGGAAGAAGAGTTGTCGTTTTATCACAGAGTTTGTTTGTTTGTGTGGTTGTGAACCTGGAGGTCAGGGCGGCTATGACTCGGCTCCATTGCTCCACCACTGCGGCCTGATGTCTGCAGCTGCTCAACATCTGTTGGCCCGTCTGCCACAGAGAGTGAGACGGAAAACACCGAGAGCAAGACAGCAACCAGACCTCAAACAGCACAGCCATCGACAGGTGAGACAGCTGCTCCGACACGTCGCCTGCAGAGACGGAGACAGGTGATCAGCTGAAACTGAACGCTCTTAAAACTGTTGAGAGGACTTCAGGAAGATCAGTTTCTTCTTCTTCCCTCAGGTCGTCACCTTGATGAACACTTAACATCAGACATACTCTGTCAATTGCCTTCTAACACCAAAATATCCACTGCTGCCACTATGGATTCTAATCTTTTTTTAATACTTTTTTTATGCACAATATGCTTTTAAATATGTACATATAAAGTGTCCATCTTTACTTGGAAATGCTAAAAACAGAAAGGTAAGATAACTGATCATATAAACCGGCTGCAGAGAGAGAGAGAGAGAGAGAGAGAGAGACAGAAACAAGTGAGAATAAAGACAGGAGACAGACAGACAGACAGGTGAAAGATAGAGACAGGTCTATGAGAGAGACACAGGTGCGTGAGAGACAGACAGGTGAGGAGACAAATGGGCGGGGGTCACAGGCTCACCTGTTGCAAGCATGGTGTCATTGACGCAGAGCAGAAAGTTCAGTAGAGTCTCCCAGGTGTCTCTGCTCATCACAGCGCTGTCTCTGGCCAAGGACTGAACTGCACACAACACCTGCTGACAGAGAGATATGTAGACCGGACTCCCCTGGTCCGACCTGAAGAGGGGGGACGAGGAAGACACAAGTTCATTTTATGAATATATATCATCAGCTATCACTGCATGCTACCCATGCATTGAGGGGATTATCACCACTATTAACTTTCAATGAGTGAATTGAATTATGGGACAACAGGTGACACATGGTGGACTAGAGAAACACTGAGTCGCCTACAAGAACCCTCTTCTCTAATATTACAGTTACAAACAAAAACAATGTGATGCATAGAACAAAGTCACATAAACTACCCACCAGAGACTGAGCCACTAGAACCCCCAAAAGACTAATACAGCCATCACAGGGCGCCATGGCAGTGGCAGCTAACCACATAAAGGGTCTCTAGTCCTAATCTCCTAAAAGACAGCTACAATCATTCAAGAATCCCTTCAATGACCACTGGGACCTCCAAAACAATGATTAGAACCACTCAATAACCATTTAAACTTCAGACAGGGACCCTTAAACCAAATGAAGGACTTCTAGGGCCTCCTCTGTGACCACTAGAACCTTCTAAGCATGGCTGGAACCTTCTAAAAGATCACTGGGACCTCTTAATGCACCACAGGAGCCTCTTGATGCACCATTGGACATCCTAAAACTCCACTGGAACCTTCTAATCTAATCATTCATCAAAGGTCACAGGGTCATTAAAAGTCATGGGTTCTGGTGTTGAGATGTCCATCAGAGGTTCAGTCCAGGTGTGACAGTCTACCTGGACAGGAACAGGCTGTACAGGCTTCGGAGGATCTTCTGGGTGTACAGGTTGGGCTGTCTGCTGATTGGAGGAGGGATGGAGTCTCTCGGGGAAACCAGGGCCATCAGCCAATCAGTGTAGACGTCTACACAGAGTTTGACGGTGTCACCGTCCAATGGGAGAGTCAAACCGTAGCACAACACCTCCATCGTCCACTTCACCTGAAAAAACAAACTTAACCAATCATTGTTAGCATCTAGCTGGCGTGATGTAATTTCAGTTCCCACATTCTCTGTGTTCAGTTTATTAGGAACACCTGGCTCCAACTAGGTCTGTACAGTCCTGTAATAAATCGTGATCGTTATGTTTGTGTAGATTCACCTGTAGGACTGTTGTGCAGGACGTAGTTTGATGTGATGTTGAACTGTGTTGTGTCAACACACTGGTTCCTTTTAAGCACGTGCATACAGGTGTGCAGACTGCAGCTGGTAGTCGAGGCCAGTGAATGATTTCTACACTCAACTACAATTGTTCATCCAACACTGAACTGATTACATATCAACACCAGTGTGTATTTAAGTTTCCATAGAGGTCATACACACACACACACACACACCTGTCTGTCTGTGCGCAGCAGACTGCGGGTGTCAGGATTTCCCAGGCCAGCTCTCAGGGGCTTCACTATGGCAACAGCAACATCTCTGCCCACAGAGGGCGGGAAACAACCGAGCACGCTCACATGACCCCGCCCACTAGACAGTGATTGGTGCATGGCCTGTCAATCACTGCTCACCTGAGAGACAGACAGGCAGAGAGACAGACGGACAGTTTAAGTAAAGTGTTTTTTATTATTATTTTTCAGTAAGGTTAAAGGGTAACTCAAGTGCTTCATTTTAATATATTTTCATACAGAACTGAGAAGTGTCCGATCACAAGTGGTCACTCGAGACCGAGAGGTCCGAACAGGGCTTCAAATGACTTTAGGATCAGCTGAGTCAGAATTGATTGGTTGCCATTTGTAAACATTTCAGCCAAAACCACCATCTCTCTAAACTTATCAACCGGTCCCCCCCACCGTTAAACCCAGTCCAGCTGAGGCACCGTTAAACCCAGTCCAGCTGAGGCACCAGCACTACTGAACTTAATGTTTTAAAAGTTCAGTGTGACTGATTTAATGTCTGAATAAAAAGTGTCTTACCTGCACAGGTGAGTCCAGGTGAATGAGCTTCAGGCGAGCTGTCTGTGTTGACATACAGGTGTGTGTTTGTTACTGAACAGTCAGGTTACTCTGAAAGTCAAAACTCTAAACTTGAACTCACCGTCTGCTGCTGCTGCCTTCTGGCTCAGGTGGAAACTTTAGTTCCAGTTTAACAGGAGGGACCTCAGTGTTAGTTTACAATAAACACTGACGAGTCAACATGAACAGTTGTCTCTGTTAATCTGTACTCAGGGCAGAGAAACTATTAAAGCAGAAAATTGAGGTTCTTGTTCCGTGTTCCTCGTTGGTCGGTGCCATGTTCTCTCTGGTCCTCTTGCTGCTGCTACAATGCTAATGTTGCCAACTGTAGAGAACTACAGAAACTACAAACATGGAGGCTGCAGGCCTGCACAGAAATTGGTGGAATTAGATGAATTAGGGGTTAGATGCGTGTGCTCTTACTCATATATCTGCAGCGCAAAGGATTGTGGGTCAGAATAGCCAGAAAAAAAACAAAAAAACGGTTTAGATACTGAAAGACGCGACCTGATATAGAACATCCTGGTACTTTCAGCATACTAAATAGTGAGAGTATTGGAACACACAGATGGGGATCAGACAACCTTTACTCAGTAATTACAGCTGCAAAAATGAGACGACTACCTGATCAATAGAAATTAATTTATCTGCAACTACGTTATTAATCGATAGTCGTTTCATTTAAAAACATGGACTTCTCTGAAATGTTATTGATCGATAAAACAATCATAATTTCCAGTTGAAATGAAGACACAAGTGACAGTTAAAGATAAAACTTTATTTTCTTCCCTCGTCATCACCATTTATAAAAAAAATAAAATCCAGCAAAAGAAGCTTCATTCAAAAAAAACATGAGTGCAGACTGCAGTGCTTGTTTCCATTGCAACGTGTCACCAATCAGTTATGAGAGGTTGAGGCTTTTTTCATTATTATTTCCTGCAACAATAATCAGGTTACCAGGGCTTTGACGATTTGTCTGGCAGTGAGAAAAAGAAACAAATCAAATCAAAGTGCGGCAGCATGAAGAGTTGAAACAGAGCAGAAGGTCAGGGGTCAGTAGGGTTGTCTCTTAATGAACCTGGTGAACATGGCGAAGGCAGCGATTGGTTTATCTGATGGAACCATGTGACCAGAACCCTGCAGGAAAACAGAGGTCAAAGGTCAGCTGCAGAATTCAAACAATTAACTTTCTTTAAAAAAAAAAAAAAAAAAAAGCTACAAGGCAACATGAACAGGAGGAAGTCATCAGCAGCATAAATAGGACATCCCTGAGGGTCAGCTGACGAAGATTAGCGTTTACCTTCACAGTGAGGAAGGCCATGTTGTCAAACTCTTTGACGAAGCCGCCGATCTGCTGACCGTCCTCGTCGTTGTAGAGCCATGGACGTCTCAGGACCTCCACCTGCAAGACACACCTCAGGGTTAATACACCTGGAATTACTGAGTCGATCCAGGCCGTTTTAAAATGGATCATATCTGCTAAAATACTCCATGACGGATCACAGCTACCTGCTGGTTCAGAGACTCGACGAACCACTCGTCCCCCATGAAGTTACAGGCCATGTCCACGTCCCCATTATACACCAGGACCCGGTACTTCTGTACAAGATAAGATAGACTTTATTGTCCTGAAGGAAATTTGTCTTGGAAACACTGTCTGCTGTTAAAAAAATAAATAAAAATACAACACACACACACACACACATATTTCACACTGTCCATCGTACAACACACCTGTAGTGTATAGTTACACAACACCTTCAACAAGGACACGACTCGCACACACTTGGATAAACAAAACCACGCCCACATCAGCCAATCACCAGCAGAACTCACATTCAGTCAGGAGTCATTGTTCATAATATACAATTGTTTTGACCATTTGGTTTTACACCAAAATAATTACTCTCACCATTAAACTACCGTCAGTGAAACACTTCCTGTAGATTTTTCACATTAAAAGCATTTCAGCACAAAAAGGTCATAACCCCTCCTGTTCCTGCTAAGATTTTAATTTTGTAGGCTTGTAATGTTTTGTGTTTACAGTAAATGATATCTTTATTGTATCTAGTGGAGTGAGTACTTTATAGGAGCAAGTTGTTAAAAAGATAATAATTTGGGTTAAACCGCTTTTCTCTGTTTGTCCAATTCTGCCGACATCGTGTAAATGCAGAAAAATGCCGTCATGTCGGTCACATGATACCTGATCGCAAACACTTTGCAGGTGAGAAGCACTTTGTCTCAAACAGGCTTCTCCTGTACACTGACCGAGTGATCAACTTAACAGGCTTGATGTTATTTAATGAGGTCTTGCGTACTGGAGAACTCGCTGTGTTCTATGTGACTTTAAGATAAGAGGAGATTGTGTTGTGTTCACTGACCAGAGCGCTGAGCAGCTTCAGGTACTGTTTCCTCACGTCCAGGTAGACACGACCGTAATTCAGATTCACCTCAGAGCTGCAAACAAAAAGGCAGAGATAAGTTTACAACTTTGTTAAACAACTGAATGACAAACAAATACAATATTAAAAACAGATCACAAAACTTCATAATGTCATAGAGAGCTACGTTACTGGAGTTAACAAGGTGTGTAGTGGGACAGGTGTGTGGTGTTCAGGTGTGTTACCTGCAGATGACCCAGTCCAGGGCTTTGGGGCTGATGTGCAGAGCAGCTTTGACGTACTTGTTGTTCAGGTAGAGTGTGGAGGGGGTGGAGTTAGTGCAGGGGGGGTCCAGACGGACGGACAGGTGTAGAGACGCCAGACCTCGCAACTTCTGCTCACACAGTAAGAGGAGAACCTGGTTTCTATCCAACCGTCAGGTGAAGAAACTTTAACGTTAAGACATCAGCTGACTTCATACACACCTGGTTCCACAGCTGCGTCCACTGATGGTTGATGAACGAGTTCCCCAGATCTCTGATCACCAGCTCACCTCGTTCAATACTGACGATCAATAACAGGAAGTCAACCTCTGTCACCTGTGAGCTCTGTGGTCAGACTACACCTGCTGCAGGCGAGCTTCTAGCAGCAGCAGCTACAGAATCCATGTTTAAGATGTGGTGTAAATTTAAACAGTATCACGTGTTCCCCCTGATGAGTCAGAGGTTAAAGGTCAAAGCTTACCCGAATCTCTGATGGACTCCACCTGGACAAGGAGAGTACAGGTTGTAAATGTTCAGTCCCGAAGCGTAGACGATGTCCTGAACCTCAGCGAGCTGCAGAAGAAACAAAACACCTGAAACAAACTGGTTTAACCTGATTTGGTTCTCATAAACCAGGATCGGGACCGGGTCACGAAACCTATAAACCAGGCTCGGGACCAGGGTCCGAAACTTATAAACCAGCTTCACACCGGGTCCCAAAACCTATAAACCAGCTTCACACCGGCTGCCACCTGGTTTTATCAGATATACTGGTTCAGACCTAGTTTTGACCAGACTTACGCTGGCGGAGCAGTTCTCCTTCGGGTTGTTGTAGAAGTTGCACTTCCCGTCGCTGCAGCAGAAGGTCTGCAGCTCCGTCCACAGTCGACTTCCCAGCAGGCCGTGGTAGTAGGCGAAGTACACCAGAGAGTTATCGTTCATCTCGTAACTTGACATCCCATTTCCCACGGCAACGCCCTGCAGGTGAGACAACAGCTAGCATGACATGGTTGCTAATGTTAGCATCCCACAAAAACATCAGTGATCGGACACTTTACAATACAGAGGCCCCGCAATAATGCAGCGTCGCTAGGTTAAGGCTGGCGCCCACTATCACTCACCTTGTACTACAGTATCTGTGTGTAGTACTACAGTATTTGTGTAGTACTGCAGTATTTGTGTGTACCTGCAGGTTTAGACTGGCGTCCTCCATCACCCTCTCGGCGAGCGTCGGGATGTAGATTCCTCCGTAACTCTCACCGGTGAGGAAAAGTTCGTTCTTGCTATACTCTGGAAACAGACGGAAGAACTCCTTCAGAGCCAAGTAGTTGTTCATCGATACCTGAGGAGGAAAAAAACAACAACACCTTAACACACCCAACAGTGAACACCTGTGAGCCAATCGGGAGCCGGGGTTTCAGGCGTGTCACTGACCTCCGTGTCGTTGGTGACGTAGTTCTTATCGTCAGCGTACGAGAAGCCGACCCCTGCTGGAGACTCCAGGTACAACACGTTGGCAATCTGTACGGAACCAGTGAACCAATCAGCTTCCATGGATTACAACAATTAGCCAATGAGCTGTCAGGCAGTTTTGGTCACATGGTTAATCTGGATGCTATTGTCACATGACGGCATGCAGGTAACCGATTAACTGACCTTGTTCCAGGAGTACTGGTTGTACTGTAGTGTTGCTCCGTCATCCTGGACCTGAAACAACAAGAGGTCAGAGTTCAGCAGGTGACCCTGTGACATCACAGGTGGGCGAAGTCAAGAGGTTACCCACCAGGAAGGGTCCATGTTCTGTCAGCAGTCCGTCCAGAGAGCTGCAGCCGGGGCCGCCATTCAACCACAACACCATCGGGTCAGAGGGCGGCTTATTCTGGGACTCCACGAACCTGAAGACAACAACAACAACAACACAGGTGGACGTTACCACCAACACTCAGGTGAGCTCAAGTGGACGTGTCAGACACCAAGGTGGAGGTACAGGTCTTCAGATGCTCCAGTGTTCTATCAATGTTGCCATGTTTTTTCTAAAATCAAGTGACCATATTTGGAATGAGGAGGAGTGACGTAGAGACGCCGTATACGTCTCTGGTAGAGACCTGTCAATCACAGTAAGCCCCGCCCTAAAGCATCCCCTGCTTTATGGTCTGTGTGACTCTAAATGGACCATAATGTACTAAATGAACATCATGCTGTATTGAAGACTTGAAACTAGAGATTGAGACCATAAACTCATGTTTACAATGTTTACTGAGGTAATAAATCAAGAGAGAAGTAGAGTCATTTTCTCATAGACTTCTATACAACCAGAGGAGTCGCCCCCTGGTGGACACTAGAGAGAATGCAAGTTTTAGGACACTTCTGCATCGGCTTCACTCGGCAGAACCGGAGGTTGGCGCCTGATTCAAAGAGTCGAGACCAAGACCAGACCACTACAAGTCCCGCACTGCATGACACACTTAACGATATTGGCGTTAACAAATCGGATAACGACATCAACGCAGTTGTGGTCTTGAAATAAAATCCAGAGTTTTTTGTCTGAGTCACGAGACCGATCTCGAGTACTACATCACTGGTTCATAGACATCACACCTGAGTTCGTTACAGCTCTGGTTTTTTAGGATTCAGGTTAAGGGACAAAAATCAACAAGTATCGGGAATAAATTAACTAATGCTGCAGGTGTGCCAGGTGTGTTTCTGGGTACCGACCAGTAGTGCAGGTGTTTCCCATCGGCCACACTCAGGTATCCAGAATACTGTTTGAAGCTCGGCTGTTTCTGCAGACCGGGCAGGTATTTCACCTCGTCTGCAGCCGGAGCAGCATCATCACCACCCAGCAGAGAGAACAGGAAGCAACACAACACCACCACCTGCATCTGAAAAAAAATAAATAAATAAATTTTAAAAAAAGACAGGAAATTACATCAACATCACTGACATTAATTGACAGCACTGACAATAAACGTGTTAATACAGTTTCATCTCTCGTATTAACTACTCGGCTGCAGCATCTAACCGGCTTCCAATTAAGAGTTTAAAGATGACGTTACAAACACTGAAACTTTATTAAACATCCATCTGTGACGACAGCGTCTTCAAGTTCTAATAAACACCCAACAGACGACTACTGACAACATTACATTCGTTGAAATAACTGGCCAACTGGCAATCGTGAGAAGTTCTGAAATTAAATAAATTAAAACGAAATAAGCAAAAAGTATCAACCCCCTTTAATAATTCATTGTTGGTTGATTGTGCCACATTAATTTATATATTTCATGAATTATTTCAGGGTACCATGTATTTGTTTAAAGTTTAAATAAACAATGAGTGATTATTAAAGATTTGTGTACTTTTAGCTTTTTAATGTGTTTAATGTGATCTGAATGCACCATGTGTCTCATGTCAGTACAGCAGACTATAAGTATCGATCCACCTGTTAAAACTGTTTTTTTAAATGACGTTTGTTGGACAACCAATGGCAGCACGAGAGCGGGTGCACGACTAGTTTCCTCTACGTCATAAGGCAGCTAGAGGACACTAGTACGCGAGGTTACGAAACCAGATCTCAAACATATAATATAATAATAAAACAGTAACGCTTGTGGTCGAGTTTCTATGAGCCGAACGCATCGCATGAAGTTACTGATTCACAATATGAATCTGTCTGGATGCATCAAGTGATCCTGTTTACTCAAGAAATACACATTTAATTTGCGTTGTTTTTTTAAATGAAGTACTGCATGCAATGGATAAGCGTGCAGAAATGGATGCGCTTTGTTCAGCCAGTTGGAGTCAGAGTGAGAAAATGTATATTAAAATACTGTTGTACTCTTAAAATAAGTTGGGCTAACAACATCTCTGCAGCCATGCAGACAGAAGCGGGAGAAACACACCAGAGGGCGCAACAAAACAGGTGAGGGAACGAGACAAAACACGTGATGCTAACAGGAAGTAACGTTTGTGGCTGATTTTGTAAATTACGCGGAATTTACGACAAAACGTTTGTCATTCAGAATTTGTTTTCCACGTTTTTACCTGAAGTTCCTAATGCAGAAACATAAAATGTACAGATTACTGAATGAAGTTTGGCAGAAAACAACGAGTTTCATTGTCAGACGGGACTGTCTCTCACACAAGTACAGTCAGTTTCATTTGTTTAGATCATAGACTAATAATTATACATATATAATGTATAGATGTATAAATAAATAATTATAAATAATTCCTGAGTTTAGATTCAAGGATTATATAAACTAACCCGGAAACAAGCTGGATCGGACTAAACGCCAACAAACACAACAAAATTTAGTGAAAACAAAGCTGTGATTAGAAAACACACTCACCTCGTCCGTCCGTCCGTCCGTCCGCCTGATTTCTCGTTCAGGTGCGGAGATGATGTGACAGCAGCTGCCGATAATGAAGAATTAAAGCAGGTCACATGACAGCAGCCAGTCACATGACTCCCCTCCACCCACGTGACTGTTGAACTGACCGGCTGACGCGGACGTTGTTGTTTTTTCAATATATGTTGTTGTAGTCTGTAGACAAATTATATCGGTGCTTGCAATGTATTCATTGTTATTATTGCACACGGATGTTGGTCTTTTCAAAATAAAAGTCTGCAAGTTTTATTCTAGACTCATTGATCACGTTGCATCATATTACATGTTCTTAATGCATCAGAGTCTATCTGAGAATGACTTCATGGTTCTGATCCGGAAAACAGTGACTCAGCAGATTCTTACATTTGTATTTATGAGGATTTCTATGACATCACCAAGCTTTGAATAATTTTAAAAATCCACATTTATATTAAATAAAATGTACCCTCTTTGCCCTGGTCTCTAAAGGACTCGGTCAGACCAGCAGGTGGATCAGGTTAAAGTTTACTTCCTGTTGAACCTTAATTTCCTAATCTCCCTCTTCATTGCTAATTCATTTTGATGTGAATAAATGCATTTTGTGAAAGTGAAAGTTTAGAACATGTCATTTCTTCGTGACTCACAGTTTAAGTAACTGAAGACATTGTCCTCAATATTGGGGAAGTTAAAATATAAATGCAGTTCAGACTAAAACTCTGAAGTCCCTGAAACTTGTAAAAGAGAAGAAATCTCTAAAGTTGTTTGTTACTTTATTGCATCAAATTAATTTAAGAAAGCAATTTTATATATTTATTTTCTTACTTCTCTGTACTTGATCTCACTCAACTTGAGGCAAAGTGCATTTATAATTTGAGGTCTTGATTGTTTAAATAAATATTCTGAGAATGTTGGTCTAGACCGGCTCACTATTAAAAGTGTCTCATTAACTTATGTTATAATTTGACACTGTATAAATTGAATCTTTAAACTATTCGGTATAATATAAAATATTAATGATGTAATCTGCGCTGTGATTGGCTGTTACTCCAGACTTTTATTGAACTGGTTACCATAGAAAATGAACAGACAGCCTCGCTGAAATCAAACCACCCTGAAGAAACTTTATTTAAAAAAAAAAAAACACAAAACGGATAAAAAAAAAAAAAAAAAAAAAAGATCTATACAACAAGTGAGTGTGAGAAGGCGGGGCTTCCTCAGGGCCGGGGGGGCGGTCTCATGCCGGGAGGAGGCGGTCCTAAAGAAAGAAAAAAAACAAAAACATAAGAGGTCACATGGTGTGTTCACATAGAATTGATTGATTGATTGATTAATGAGGCTGTGATCCGATTTGATTAATGAGGCTGTGATCCGATTTGATTAATGAGGCTGTGATCCGATTTGATTAATGAGGCTGTGATCCGATTTGATAGGCTTACCTCTCATGCCAGGGGGCGGCGGCCTCATGCCCGGGGGAGGCATCCCCATCGGAGCACCTCGACCAGGAGGCATCCCCATTGGAGGACCCATCGGTGGCCGCATGCCAGGGGGTGGGCCCATCATACCTGTAGGGAGGGGAGAAGGGGGGTCAGGTCACAACCAATCAGTACACAGGAGTCAGGTTCATGACATCACATGCCCACTCACCAGGAGGCGGGGCCCCTCTGCCCATCGGGGGCGGGGCTCCTCGTCCAGGTGGGTATTGTGTGGGAGCACCTGCGATACTCGCTCCTGCTGCTGCCGCCGCAACCGTCCCTCTGCCCTGTGGCGTCATCACCTGGAAACACAGGAAGTTGTCATCACCTGAGCACACACAGCTGAATGTAGAGCAGTCGTCGTCGTTGTATTTACCTGCTGTGAAGGACCGCCCACCCCTCTGACGGGCCCGGCGAGTCCAGCCGGAGCCTGAGGCATCGGAGCTCCTGCTGGGACACCACGACCTGCTGCACGACCCACACCGGGACCACCAGCCACGCCCGCCAACGGGACACGAGCTATGCCGGTCTGGAGAGGGGAGAGAGACAGAGAGAAAGAGAGAGACACACAGAGACAGGGGTTTAACAAACAGCAGTTCCGTAAATATGAAATAAAGTTTAAAGTTGACAAATATTAAAAAAAAATAAAAATCTGTGATTTAAACATGATTTAAAACTCAAACAATGAATTTTTTTTAAGACAGTAATTCTGATGACATCACCACAAGTCTGTCTCCTATTGGCAACAGAGTTCCACTTACATCTTTAGGAGGCGGGCCCTCAACCGTCATAGAGACGAGGTTCTCCCCTCTCAGCAGAACCAGACCCAGAACCCTCTTCTCTTCTCGCTCCGGCTGCTTGGAGTTCTTTGGCCTGCAGGACGACAACAAAACAACTCATTCATTACGGTCCACAGACAGGCCTTATTACCCAGCATGCCTTACAGTTACTTCCAACTACCCTTAAGAACAGTATAGCAGAAGACCCCGGGGCCCCAACTACGGACCTCCAGGCACCTCTACCCGTTCATTTTACAGTTTTCTCTGCTCTACCACACCAGTACCAGCGGACCCAACAGTAACGGCCGCTGAGTTGCATCGTGTGTGTTCAATAACAAGCCGACCCTGTTGGACCCAGAGTCTTGGACCTACTTGATCTTCCTGAACTCGTCGCAGTCGCACAGAATCAGGTTCATGTGCTTGTCGAAGGCCTTGAAGGTGCCGATGAAGATCCGGCCGTCCTGCAGGATGCACCTCATCCTGAAGTCAATGTGCTGCAGCATCTTGCTGCTCTTACCCACCGTCTGAGGAACCAATCAGAGACAGGCGTTAATATGATGTCATAATCAACACCACAGACTATTCCTACAGCATCACGATGTCACGGCTGGTTTGTGTATTTAAGATCATCTCTGCGTTTGTTAGAGTGACTTCAGGATGTAACAGCAGCTCAGACCCAAAAACCAAAATATCTATAATGGTGATTTATTCTTGGATACCGATTTAAAGTTAATTTTACTTATTTGGGTCAATAAAAAAAAAGGACAGAAAGACAGTTGAATCAAACTATAACAGAGCTTATGTTCTTTATTCTTGTGTATAAAATGGATTATACAGCAGGAGTTACGTCGAGCGTTTTGATGTGTAGCTATTGGTGTTAAACGTGGCTTCAATCTGCATCAAGCATTTACTCCATTGATTCTACGTTGAAGCATGCACGAAAAACAAGAGTTTACAAGTACACAAACCTTCATTTTGTTAGTCAAGTATTTCTTGTGCTACAAATAAACATACTTTGGTGAAGACAACAGGCTTCACTAGCCTATTTATTAAAGGAATATATCGTAACACATACGTGTAGATAAACTAACACTTAATAGTTTACATTAATGTCGACACGTGCGGATAATCATTAAACTAGCTTTAAAACAAGTGAACAGTTAGCTCGTAGCTTCGTTAGCCTATTGTAGAACGTTAGTGCACGTTGGTCTCCTCGGTATGAACAAACATTAACCGGTAAATGTAACGACAATGTTAATGTGGTGCTTAAAAACAACCGTAGATACTTTTAAGTCATGAGAACAACGTAATCACAACGCCGAGGAGCTAACTTTAGAAGCTAACTGCTAACAAACACTCCGGCCTAACCGGGTAAATTAACGGCTGTTAACTTAATAACGTTACACAGAAACCTGTTAACGGAACAAACCGGTTAACAGTAAATTAAAGTTATTACTGATGTGGTTTCTAATAAACTGAACAACTTCCTGACTCCGCGGGCTGCTGCAGCTCTGTACCGACGCTCAACCGACGTCCATTCAAACTCCCGCTATTATTAAAATAAAACCGTAAAATCGGGTATACATTTAAAGACCCAAGAGGCCGGCAGCCCGCGGACAGTCTGCCCGGTAAACACTCACCATGTTTGCGGTTCTGATGGCCCCGATTCACGCCGGATTCACCGAACAAACCCAAAAAAATTTGACCCGCGGAGAAACCGCCAGGCTCGTCTTTATCAGAGATTCACAGGAAGTGACGACCGGCCAGCAGAACTGTTCCTACCCGAACAAAGGACACACACACAGTTCCCACCCGACCTGCAACAACAGCCCGAAGCTACGGTTCCGCAAAGTTTTCATTTTAATTTATACTCGTATTATTTAATATATATATATATATATATATACATATATATTTTGAATATATTTATATATATATACATACAAAAATATATACAGTGTATTTATAAAAGTATGTCAACTGTATTCCAGAACAATAACTGTTTTTGTGACTTTTCCATGTCAGAAAAAGGAAAACAACATCAACAATAGTAGTTACCACAATATAATTAATATTTATAAAAAATAAATACAACAAACAGGGCTTGTTACAGTAAGAAAGTGCATATAATACCGTTTCCTTTGTTTTTATTAATTTATAACTTCAACTCACAAGCAATAGAAATCGTCTCAGCTTTAGATAAATTGAGATAAACATGAAGCTCAATCGCAGCAAAGTTCTTTACTTCTTACTTTGGAGGAACACAATCAAATGTGGTATAATTTCTTGAAATATGAAACTACAGCTATTAAAATATTAAAATTACAACAGTAAGAAAACATAGAGAACAAGCACGTTAAACAAATATACATTCCACTGAGAAAATAAAACAATTAGATGTAAAACATAATATAAAATAATTTTATCGAAAAAAAGTAAAATAAATAGATAAGAAATAGATACAGATGAGATACAAAAAGTTATATATTTTATTCATTTATTTATTTACTTATTTATTTACTTATTTACTATCAGTGTGTTTACATATATAGGTTTATGAACTGATCAGGTGATTAATCACGTCATCGATCCTCTCTGCTGTGCATCATCATCATCGTCGTCGTCGGTTGAAGAATTTCCCGTCATCCTGCTGCGGGCCGGTTGCCATGGTAACCCGGTCTCCTGCCGCCGGGCCGCGCGCCGCAGTGAGCAGCAGAGAGACGGAGGAGAGACGGTGAGTCACCGGGACCAGCACCCGGTCAGACGACCGACAACCGACGGACCAGAAGACACCGACAGACCGTTCGGTTAGCCCGTTATAGCGCGACGATCACGGACTGTTAATGAGGCCGATGATGACGGGCATCGACCGCAGTGTTGCTTCAACCTGAGAGAGACTTGAGCGACATCATCAGCGGCAACCAGACTGTTGCTGCAGTGTTGCTTCCCCCTGACGGAGACGACGTACCTCCAGCAACCAGACCCACCAGCAGCAACAGCATGTAAGGCAACTAACTGCACCGGCAGCAACGAGCAACCAGACTGTTGATGTTTTAATGTTGCTTTAACCTGACAGAGACTACAGCATCCAGTCCAACAGCAACATAATCTGCAGCAATTATATATAAAGCAACCAGGCCACTGATTTTCCACAACTGCAGTGTTGCTTTAACATACAATAAAGGGAGAATACAGCAACTAGACTGATGTTTGTCAACCACATATTGTTTCAACCTTAAAGCTTCAAGGACTACAGCAACTACACCTACAGCAACTAAACCCACTGCAACTAAACCCACAGCAATTGAACATACAGCAACTGTGCCCTCCTGCAACAATATCTGCAGCAACTAGGAAATTAACGGTTTTAATTACCACCGTGTTGCTTCAGCCTCAGGGAAACTACAGCAACTACACGATCAGCAACTAGCAACCACATTGTTGATGTTTAATCTTCACTGTGTTGCCTCAGTGTGGCACGACAGCAACTCAACCTGCAACCTACATCCACGGCACCTATCGACTCGACATCCATCGTCCAGCAGGTGAGCGGCAACACGACACCATGACAACATGTACACCTCTCCACCAATGAGGTCACAGCCTCAGGAGTGATGTCACAGCCTCAGTAATGATGTAACAGTCTTACGCAAAACTATATTTAGCAACAAAAAGAATAGAGCTGATAACAATATAAATAAGGGATGATTCTGAAAGAAAAGATGCAATGAGGGACAAATAAATATTGTAAATAAGTTGAGACAATCAGAGCTTTAATGTAGCATCACTTTTTTCTATGTAAAGATATATAGTCACTATAGTTGCTCTGTGCTTTGTTGACATTGCCAAACCAGGCATCATAAGTTGACTGTTGTTTTGAAGGCTCGAGTTTGGCAATTTTGCCGCCGCCATCTTGGAATACTGTTGTCGCCATGTTGTTTTTTCCACAAGCAATGAACAGAAGTGACCATATTTAGAATGTGGAAGACTGACATAGAGACGCAGGGTACGTCTCTGGATTCGTCGTCGGATTCCATGTGAAATCAGATGAAATCCTGAAGGTTCACCAGAAACTCCTTCAGCTCAGACTCCAGCAGATCCTCCAGCAGAGACCGGTCCACCGTAGACAGACCCAGATCCCCCAGAAGAGACCGGTCCACCGTGGACAGACCCAGATCCTCCAGCAGAGACCGGTCCACCGTGGACAGACCCAGATCCTCCAGAAGAGACCGGTCCACCGTGGACAGACCCAGATCCGGCTTCACCTGCAGCCTTGGACCTGCAGTCGGATCTCCGGAGGGAGGGGGAGAGCTCAGCTCCCGGCAGCAGCAGCAGCGTCTCCTCCTCCTCCTCCTTAATAAAATTTATTCTATAAATTAGTGGTTTACCTAAAACCTTATTAGTTAACTTGCTAGCTAGCTAACTCACCACGTGACACATTTTACTTTGTATGTATTTGACAAATTAATAGATTTATTTGACAAATTAATGGATTCTTTTTATGATATGGTAAATAAATACAGCCTGAGCAGATAACCCGCCATATTTACAATTTATTTACCTCATTTCTGGTTAAATCCCATATAAAGTTTCCACCTTGAATATTACCAGAGTATTGCAACTCTACTTTGGAGTGATGTCACAGCTTTAGTAATGATGTCACAGCTTCAGTAATGATGTCAGAGTTGACGAATAATGATCCTGCAGCTGAAGGTTCTGTTAGAACCCGTCTGGTTCTCTGCTCAGTGCTCCCTCTACAACAGGCACTCTGTGGTGGACAGTGATACACAGTATACTACACAGTGATACATATACTACACAGTGATACACGGTATACTACACAGTGATACACGGTATACTACACAGTGATACAGGGTATACTACACAGTGATACATAGTATACTACACAGTGGTGGTACTACATCACTGACAGCTCTGGAGTCACATGACTGTCATTTACACACAATCACATGTGAAGCAGTGCATTGTGGGATTGTGAGCAGACAGTGTACCCGAGGTCTGTTTGTCTCTGGTCTGAGACTCATCTTCTCCTCTCTGATCAGTCGGTGAATCAGCTGATCACATTGTTTCTGATCACCGACATGTGATGACATCTGACTCACCCGATTGGCTCATCGGAGGGGCTCAGGCACAGGTAAAGCTGTTGCCATAGCAACATCAGCATCCCCCAGTGTCCCCCCTCCTACGGTTACATAACAGCTGCAGTCTATAAATACAGCTGTGTGAGGGTGTGTACGAGTGTGTGTGTGTGTGTGTGTGCGCGTGTGTGTGTGTGTGTGAGTGTCTGTGTGTGTGTGTTTGTGTGAGTGTTTCTGAGGCTACTCGATAAATTAACATCAACAATAAAGCAGACGAGATAAGTAATAAATATACAGTGATAGCACTCGCTGATACTCTGTCTTGTAGATACTGTGTATTGTCTCTTCAGACCCGTCTGTCTCATTGACCCATCTGTCTGTCTCTCTGCAGATGGGCGTCCTCCCAGACTGTCAGACTGATCAGCTGATCTGGAGTCAGGTAGGTCACCGCTGCCTTCGTCTGTGTAGAGAGAGAAACCAACCAAATGGTGCACAGTGTTACCTCCGTCCTCAGTATTGTGTCTCTCTTTGACACTACTTCCTGTTTAAAATAAATCAAAACAAACTGATCCTTGTGGGGTACCGAACTCCGAGTCCTCACCTCTAGTTAAAGTAGCAGTTAGTACAGTGGAGTAGTTTTACTCCGCAGTACTTCTAAATTAGTTTTGTCTTCCAGTCAGCTGACGGCTTCAGGTTGACCTAAACTCCGTCCAACCGCTGGCCCCTCTTTCCTCGTTCGGGTGAAAACGACAGCCAATAGAAAATGAGCCTGCTTAAGGAGGAGGAGCCTGGCCGAGAGATGGAAGCCAAGGTGAGACTCCTCATCCATAGTATCATCTCTGATGCCATCACACCACAACAGTTTGAACTCTAAACTTTATTAGATCTTGAACTAGAATTTAAATATAGTTCTGAGAGTTTGAACAAAAGCTTTATTCGGTTCGTAGAGGGCGAAGACGCGGAATCATTTTAGCCATTATAAAACTGTGTGTTGTCATGTGTGCAGACCTGGGCTCAGTCTCTGGTTTACACTCTGGAGGAACTCGAGTGTAAAATCTGCTACAACCGCTACGACACTCGAAGTCGGAAACCCAAACTGCTGGGCTGTCTGCACCGAGTCTGTGCCAAGTGTCTGAAGAAGATGGTCGACATGGGTGAGTCCACTCGCCCGGTAAAGATTACTGACACATGGAGGGTGAAGCAAGTTATTTCCAGCGAGTTGTTTCCCTGTAAAAGAGGCCGGTATATGGTTTTCCTTGACACCAACCACAGCTGTAGACCTGAGACCTGGACTCTAGTCTCTTAAGACTTGACTTGAGACTCGAGACTATCAACTCAGGGGTTGATGGTTTCTCTTGACATCGATCGGAGCTTTAGACTTGGACTCAAGTTTAAAAAGAGGTCACAAAAAGAAGTTTCCCGGTCCTTGAAAGATTTGGAATGACTTGATATTTGCGAATGAAGACTTGTTGCTTGTCCTTAATGACTTTAGACCTGACTTGGACTTTAGAGGACTTGAGTCTTGACTTGGACTTTAGAGGACTTGAGTCTTGACATGACTCCCTTGAGACTTGAATTGACTCGAGACATGAAAGAAAAGTCCAGTGACGTGACTTGGACTTGTCTTTAAGGACTCAGGACTTCAAAGCAAGTTTTGATTTGTTTAAAATCCCAACATCAGATCTCTGACTTGGACTTATCTTTAAGGACTTTAGACAAATCCCATAAATCACCTGTGAAGAGATGATTTACGAGTCAACGTTCCCTTGACATCAACCACAGCTAACCTAAAACTTTCAATATATTTTCAATTCAATTCCATTTAATTTATTTATCCTCGCATCGGAACGGGAGAAACTCCCCAAAAAAACCTTTAACAGGGAGAAAAATAGGAAGAAACCTTAGGGAGAGCAACAGAGGAGGGATCGCTCTGACTTGGACTTGTGTCAGACTTAAAAAAGGAGAGTAAACTGTGTCTTTTTTAGTTTAAGTTATTAGTTATTAATAATTACACAGACTTTTATGAATGAAGCCTTGAAGCTTGGAACTGTTCGGTGCAGCTCTATGGATGTGATTTGTAAAGTGATATTAAAGATAATAATGTCAAATGGAACATGATGCTGCCATATAGTCATACCAAGCACAGACTTTAAATGTTTCAAAACGTAAAATCGATGATTTTAAATATAATATTCACATTCTTTTATAAATGTTCAACTGTGTTGCTTGCAGGAAGGTTAAAGGTTGTATTATTGTGATGTTGTGACGTGACACTTGAACTTAAGGTTCTAGATACAATTTTGGGAGCATTTCTATTGCCTCGTAACGGCTCTCAATATGGCAATGGATGAGTCGGCAGCTAGAAGTTAACAGCGCTAACAGCAGCAACGGTGCTGACGGAGCTATTTTACCTGTATGACATCATACTCATGTGTCATGTGACTCTTCTGATTGATTTTCAGGAGAGTCTTCGCCATCTATCATCTGCTGTCCATTCTGTCGCCACGAGACCTACGTCCCCGACGAGGAGGTGAGACTTAATTAACGAGGAGGTGAGACTTTATTTTATTAACGAGGAGGTGAGACTTTACTTTATTAAGGAGGAGGTGAGACTTTATTTTACTAAGGAGGAGGTGAGACTACTTTATTAAGGAGGAGGTGAGACTTTATTAACAAGGAGGTGAGACTTTATTTTACTAAGGAGGAGGTGAGACTACTTTATTAAGGAGGTGAGACTTTATTAACGAGGAGTTGAGACTTTATTTTACTAAGGAGGAGGTGAGACTACTTTATTAAGGAGGTGAGACTTTATTAACGAGGAGGTGAGACTTTATTTTATTAACAAGGAGGTGAGACTACATTATTAAGGAGGAGGTGAGACTTTATTTTACTAAGGAGGAGGTGAGACTTTATTAACGAGGAATTGAGACTTATTAAGGAGGTGACTCCTCCATTTCGGAGTTGGACAAGCCGTCTTCCTGTCTCTGTCCTCTTGTTAAGGTGTGGTTGATGGAGGACGACCGACACATCCTGGCTGTTCTGTCTTGTCAGGACCGAGCCCGCCGAGGAGGAGGAGGAGGAGGAGGAGGAGGAGGAGGAGGAAGAGGAGGAGGGGGGGGGGAGGTGGTGCTGAGTCCAAACAGTCTAACCGGTAAAATAACAAGTCTCCTTTCTCCTGTTTGATTTCCTAGTTCCAGACTGGAACATAAAACTCCTCCGTCTCACTCTCTCTCTCTGCCGGTCTCACTCTATGTCTCTGTCTGTCTCTCTCTCTCTCCCTCCCTGTGTCTCTCTCTCTCTGCCTGTCTCTCTGTCCCACTTTGTCTCTCTTTGTGTCACACAAACATATATGATGCTTTAGGAATGTATTGTGTTCTATTGTGGAGAATGACTTGTTTTTTGGACTGGATTTGTGTTTATTTTAGTTCTTCATTAACAGCGTTTATTTTCTTTTTCTGAGAGTTTTTGAAGATCCTCTCTCTCTCTCTCTCTCTCTCTCTCTCTCTCTCTCTCTCTCTCTCAGGAGGAGGAGGCGTGGAGTCGTCCCACCGCTCCTCAGACTGTCTGGTCATCACCATCATGGAGCTCCCCGAGGATTCTCCATCCTCGGACTCACTGAGCATGCTCAACGTGGTGGGTCTGTACCGCCCCCCCAGCCTGGACTCGCTGCCCTGCAACCTGCCGGCTCAGAAGTGTCACGCCTGGACGTCCCGCAGCTTCCCCCGCTGCCTGCTGGGGGCGCTCTGCCTGGTCAGTACATTAAAAAAAGTCAAACCAGTACTAGGAAGGAAAGGCCGGACGGGCTGACAGGTGTGTGTGTGTGTGTCTGACGTAGTGTGGTTGTGTGTTTGGACAGGTGTACTTCAGCTCTCTGCCTCTGGGGATTTACCTGCTGATGATTGGTCAGCTGTGGCTGGGCGTGGTCCTGGTGAGTCTGGTTCCCTCCACGCTGCTGCTGCTCGTCCTCTACGGCTTCTGTCAGTGTCTGTGTCACGAGCTGATGGAGGCGCTCGCCGCGCGCACGCACGCTCTGCCATGACATCGACAATACTAACAACACGTCACCTGCCGCCATTACAGCCAACAACAGGCTGCTGTGACAACGACAACAACATCAACACATCACACCATGAGAACTAACAACACGGCCGACATGACAACGGTGAGAACCACCGGAACAAAGAGTAAACAAAAACAAAACAACAGTCAGAACAACAACAGTGCCACCAGAACCAGCGACAAAACAAGTCACAACATGAGATATCACACCAGAACCAGTGGCCTGTACGATCCAAACCCAGGACATCTTTTGGTTATCTGGCTGAACTACCGCGACCCCGCTAAGCGGTCAGACGACGGTGGTTTCAACTCGGTAAATCAACTCCTGGGTTTCTCCGTCTGGTGGTGAGCACGTTCACACAAAATAATAGTTCCAGGATATGATCAAATCTAAACATGCCATCAGCAGAGCGGCAGATTTTACAATCGAAAGGAAACTAAAGAGGATATTCAGGCTAAAAGCGACACAGATGTAGCTGCTAAATGCAGGAAGAACAGCCGGTAAAACAATAAATCACTAAAACTAATTTAACAGAATTATAATATCAGTCTACATCTGACTATAATTACATTTATGAATTCCATTAAATCAATGTGTTGCTTGGATGTATTCTTACAGAATAGAATAGAATAGATGATATACTTTATTGGTGTGTATGTCAATTTAAACCTTATTTTTGTGTTATCAACCCCGGAGGTGTGAAACAGACTTGGCAGGAAAATTAAAATAAAATATAAAATCACAATTCAAAGAGCTTTGACAATCTCATGACACGAGCACCAAGCTATATTAGACACGTCCGCAATCTCAAACATAACCTGCTTCAGAGCAGAGCAACAATCGAACAACACAACAACCAAAATGACAACAACGGAACATCACCAGAACAACAACGGAACATTACCGGAACAAAGGAACAACACCAGAACCAAAATAACAACAAATCCTTACCAGAACCAGAGTAACAACAGAGCAATATCAGAGCAACAACGGAACATCACCAAAACCAGAATTACAACAAAACAACACCAGAAACACAACAACACTAGAACAACAGAATCACTCATCTATAGACTCACCCATCAGACATTGACACACCTGTCCACTCTGACCCCGCCCCCCTCTGAAAACCAGCATTACCCCCCTCCTTGTGGCTACAGCCAATTTAGACTCGGACCAGGTGATGACATCATCACAGAGAAGAGGCGGAGTTTATCTCTCTCACTCACTCTGATGTTTTACTGTGAAGGTTGTTCTCTTTGTCGCCTCCTGCTGGACAAACTGAGAACAAGCTGTTTTATTTTATATTGGGAAACAACAGAGGGATCCAAACTGTCAGCTGATCAGAGGAGACTTCTGCCTGTGAACATTAAAGCTGTTGTAGACTGAAACCACCGTACTGTGCAGACTGACAGAGACTTTAAACAACACAAACTAACCATGTTGAAAACAACAAGTTACTGTTTAATATGTGTGAATCTGTAACTGACATTCATTAAATACGCTTGTTTTCTATTTTCTTAAGACTCCAGTACAGAGACAGGTCCAGGACTGTTAGCCTTGCTTAGCACAAAGCCTGGAAATAGATGGCAAACTGTTAGCTTAGCATCATCAAAGTCCTGGCTTCCTGTCGAACTGTATTCCCACAATGTCTCCAAAATATAAAGAAAAGGAAAATCTCCCATTATTCTAACTCCCAAGTGTTCACATCCAAGATGCCTTATTAAATATCATAATACAAATTAAGTCTAAATTAGCTTCTTTGTTGTGTATTTGTAGCAGTTTGTTTAAATACAAACAAGTGTATAAATCCTTTTCAATGAACCGAGTGTATGAATTTATTCAGATCATGTAACTGGAACTTTTCTGAATGTTTACACATTCACATGTATGTGTTTGTGTATGTTACATAAACACAATCATGTGTCTACAGAAAACAACACTGTTGGTGGATGTTTTTCACGACATGTCTTCTTCTGCTAATGTTAAATAATAATAAACAGCCACCACATGTTAATAAGATTTCACAACCTGCAGTCGCAGTGCTGCAGAAACACCAGTGTCGTACAATATGTAAATCATTTATTTTTTGATTAAACTAAGCTAACAGTTTCCACCTGCTTCCAGTATTTGTGCTAAGCTAACAGTTTTCCCCTGCTAGCAGCCCTTGTGCTAAGCTAAAAGTTTTCCCCTGCTAGCAGCCTTTGTGCTAAGCTAAAAGTTTTCCCCTGCTTGCAGCATTTGTGCTAAGCTAACAGTTTTCCCCTGCTAGCGGCCTTTGTGCTAAGCTAACAGTTTCCATCAGAGACTACAGAGAACAAGATGAATTAATGAGCTGTTGGACTGTTCCTTTAAGTTCTCTGTCTTTTTAAAGTGCCATTGTTTGATTTGATGTTTGATTAATGATCATGTGATGATGATGATGATGATGATGATGATGATGAGGACACTGTTGGTCAGCTAGCCTGCAACAGCTGTTGTGTCACTTCCTGTCTTTGTAGTGGGTGGAGCATGTGCAGTGTGTGCTCCATTTAAACATCGAATAAACTACAGACACTGAAATATGACTCATCGGAGATTTTTTTTACTTTGACTACTGCAGATATTACTACCGTTTACTGATTAGTATAACTGTTGGTAAAGTTACTCTTACTACTGTCAGTACAGTTACTATAGTTAATGTTACTGTAGCTACTGTTAACAGCTCTATAACAACATTAATGATCAACCTGACACTCTCTGTGGACAGAAGCCTCCATGAAACTATCATGAGATATGAATTCCCCCTTCACTCTCCCATACTCCATGGCTCACTCACAGTCCAACACCTAGCTGGCTAGCTAGAGCTGCCAAATCTACCTTAGACGATAAGAAGTGGACGTAGTCATCGGGACGTCACGGTTTGTGGACTGTTTTGAAGCCTTGAGTTTGGTGTTTTCGGCGTTGCCATCTTGGATTATAGCTGTCGCCATGTTGTTTTCTTCGCAACCACTGAACGGAAGTTACCATATTTGGAATGCGGAGGAGTGACGGCTTATATGTCTCTGGTACTGGCAGAGACCTGTCAATCACTGTGTAGCCCTGCCCTAAAGCATCCCCTGCTTTATTGTATTGAAGAAGACTTGAAACTAGAAATTGAGACCATAAACTCATGTTTACAATGTTTACTGAGGTAATAAATCAAGAGAGAAGTAGAGTCATTTTCTCATAGACTTCTATACAACCAGAGGAGTCGCCCCCTGGTGGACATTAGAGAGAATGCAAGTTTTAAAACACTTCCACATCCGCTTCACTCGCCAGAACCAGAGGTTGCCGTCTGACATCTACTAGCATGAAAAGAAAAAGGAAGTGGTAGAGTAGTAAAGCCCAGGCACAGACTCAGTTTGTCTTTAAAGTTCATCTGGCAACACCTGTGATGAGTATGAATCTAAAGATTAAATAATTGTTTTAGTAACAACCATGAATGCTAACAAACATCTTTACCGTGACGACAGCAACATTAAAGGGATGGAAAAGAATATAGAACAGCACCTGGGTCCTTTTGTCTATAAATAACCCTGACATGACCCGGTCTACCTGGACAGGTGAATCCCTGACGTTGAGGTTTGCCTGCAAGACAGAGCTGTGGGTAAATTAAAGAGGCTCCTGGGAGGACCTCAGCTGCCATTAATTAAAAAACACTGACGTCTCCTGAGAGGAGAAGAAGAATGTTTATAGAAACCTGCCTGACATCGCACAGTCCTCCTCTACAGAAGAAGGTTGATGGAGTCGTGATCAGGTAGGAGAACAATCTAAAACATCCTCTCTTATGTCCCGATTACGACCTTTTCTCTGATTTTAAACATTATAAATATATAGATTATATAAAGTATTAATATATTGTTTATATTGCAGATTTAAATCATTGCTATCAGCTTCCTTTAATATGTAATCTTTAACATTCTATGTTTCAATAAGTCACTGATGATAAAGAGTTTAATAGTGGTTACTTGTTGTATTAGTGGATAACAAATCAGATGCACTGATGCTTTATTAGTAAGATAAATTTAATAAGAGTAACTTTGATTTACTAATGAAGGTCCTCTTAATAAATACATTTCTATTTGTTACATTTTAAAAAGAGGAGCTTAACACCCAGTTTGAGATTGAAGCTCTGACACAAAGAAAGATGTTTCACAGAGGCTTTGTGTAAAACAAATAATGGATTTTCTCTATAAAACGTCAAATAACTTCTGCTGTAATAAACACTAATGGAACAAGGATCAAGTAAATTACATGTATGGTCACTTTATCATGCTAAAAAGGTGAGATCTTGACCGCAATGCGTTTCGTCAAGTAGTTCATACTGAAAGAATGTGATGCATTATTGATAAAAGTATTAAAAACAACAATTTGGGAATACCGATACGTTTATTTTTTTTAAATGATCCAAGTAAAATGTATTCCATCCACACAACTATTTGTAATTACAGCTGTCTGCCTGTTAAATGATAACACTGAAGGTACTCCTTCGTTTGTATCTTAAAGTGAAGGTATAAACTCTAATTGACCATTTGCTAAGCCCCGCCCCCCACTGCTAAGAGCTACGTTATCATGGAGCCCACACTGTCACTAACTGCACTCCCTAAATAAATATCACAATTTTTTTTAAAGTGATTTCAGAGAGAAATAAACAGAAAAGTCTATATCGTGGTGTCAATCCGATTCAGCAGCAAAAACAGGTTAAAGATAAAGATAGAACCTCTCCGAGTAACTATAACAAAGTGATTATGATGAAGGTTCAATTGCCTGTTAAATACCTGAATACTAAAATCTCACTTTAACATTAACAACATCATACTTTTTTTCGACTGAAAAATATATAATTCATGATTGATTAATCTCTAAAATATTTCACTGTGATATCCTCTTTACAAGACAATACATTTCATAATTTCAATGGATTTTCTTTTAATATGATGTTTCAAAATGTCAGCTCTCCTTGTGATGACACATCGTTAAAGCCGCCCTCTACAGGACAACCGCAGTAACTACACAAACAGGGACATTGACATTAAACATTCTCAGGTATTTTTTATTTTTTTTTAAATCAACCCATCTTGGCAAAAGAAAATCAATAATAAATACCCTTAGACAACGATAAGAGAACCATACACCTGCCCTGCTCCCCCGGCAGGAAGGTGATGACATCATGAGCCGGTGGCGTCGTTCGGTAGACGAGTTGGCGGTGCGGCGGCGGCAGCAGGGCGAGTGTGAACGCGCTCTCGAGGCCCTCGGTCGGGTCACCTCGTGTTTCCAGCAGCTGGCGGCGTCACTCGGCAGCTCGGCGGACGGCAGCTTCCTGCGAGACGAGATGGACGACACAAGAGCACTCGCACACCGTATCTGCACCGGTACGGAAAATCGCTTAGACCAAACACCTGTTCGTACACCTGTCTGTATCCCACTTGACTGTCTGTCTGTCTGTCTGTCTGTCTATCCGCAGGTCTGTCCCGCCGTCTCATGCATCTGCAGTCAGACTGTGACTGGGCCCCCTCAGGTGTGGAGGACAGACAGGCCTCAGAGCGTCTGTGGGTTCTCTTCCTGTCGGCTGTAGAGAATTTCCTGTTCGACCTCTGTAAGGCCTGCGATCTGATTGGACAGTTTCCTCTGACCCAGCGCAACAGCAGGCGCTCGTTAGTCAATACAGGTCAGTTGATGGCCTTCATTTCCTGTCTGTGGAACCTTCCTTCCTTGTCTCTTTTCTTTCCTTCCTTCCCACTGAATTGCTGAGTGTTTGAACCCTGGAACTAACTTAAAGATCTGGACTACCTTAAAGATCCTTACAACCTGCCAATGACACCTGTGTGTTCCTCAAGGATTCCTGGAGCGTCTTAAGTAATTCCTAGATCCTTCCTAACTCTTCAAAATACACCTGAAGCCTCCTTTGAACTTCCTTAATGAATACCACGCCACTTTCAAGAACCCTTAGAATATGGAATAGCTTTAAGACCCTCTATAAGAACCCCAATAATCTCATCAAGAACTCTCACAGCCTCTTCAAGGTTCCCTGACACTTCCTCACTGACATCTATATCTTTGAAGATTCCTGGAACACTTTCATTGATTCTTGGTACTTTTCCTTGCGGATTCATATTCCTCATGGACCCAAAAAACGTTTGCCAAAAATCATGGATATCCTTCCTAAAGTACTTAAATATTTTCAAAGACCAATAGGTATTCTTCAAGACTATATTTGACCACTGGAATTTTCTCAAGGGGGACAGCTGACACAACGTTAAGAAAATCTCTCCTTCAATGATCCCTTAAACCTCTTGGAGGACCAATAAGCATTCTTTAAGGACCCACAGAACCGTCTCTGGGATATTACTTGTTCAAAATACCACAGAACCACGTTAAAGGTTTCTGGTACATTTTCAAAAGATCTGTCAAACCTTAGAAGAATATAACACATTTAGGACTCATCCAACCGCCTCATGGACCTTCAATGGTTCTGTTACCTAAAAGTTCCTAAAGAATAACCGGAACTCCCTCGATGCGTCCTACATTCAAGGACACCTACAATTTCCATGAGGAGCACTGGAATTTCTTTAAACTTTAGATATCTAAAATGTTCAAATGACCCCCTGAACCTCTCGTAAGGTAATTTTTTTTTAGAAATCCTCAAAAGGATTGAACCTACCCTGGAATCTAGTCAACTTTCTAAAGGATATCTAAAAACCTCTAGAGCCTTATAGATCACCTGAATAATGGCAGTAACATTGTCAATAAGTGCAGCAAATCCTTTAAGGACCACTCCTTCAACCTTATTGAAGACGATTGGAACTTCTTAAGGAGCTATTAAATACCTCCTCAAAGTAACTGGAACATCCTCAAGGATATCCCTCAATCAGTCCATGTACCTCCTTGTGGGCTATTTGGCATTCTTCATGGTCTCAAAGAGCCTCCTCAGTGATACCTCCTTGAAAAGTTTCTGTTACATCCGCAATAATCCTCCAATATTTGAAGGTTTAGCCTCTTTTAGGATTCTAACATTCTCAAAGATCCCTACAACCTCCTTTAGAACCACTGAAACCTCTTAAGGAGCCGAAGACACTCCTTAAGGATCTCTGAAAAGAAATACTGGATCAGTACAGTCCGATCTGATTTTCTTGTATGTATTCTTGTCACAGCTCTGTCACTTCTGTCCACCTTTCACTCACCTAATTAGTTCATTCAGTGCACCTGCCAGTCACACTCACCTCATCAGCTCATCATTCTCACCTGCTCACTCTGCCTCTTCACTATTTAAACCCCTGCCTCAGACACACTCACTGCCAGATCGTTCTTTGCATTCATGCTCAACTTTCCCGCATTCACCCATGGACTGATTCCCTGTTGCCGACCCTGCCTGTCCCGAACTACCTCGCCTCGCCTTGCCTCTGTCCTGGTAACTTACTCAGCCCTTCTGTCCTTGACCACGAGAAACCTGTCGGATTCTTCCAGAGAATCTTCTGCCTGTCGTGTGTTACAAATAAAGAACTCAAATCATACCAGTCCTGGTGTTGTCGTACTGCTCCTGGGTCCTAACTACACCCGTTACAATTCTACTAACATTGCACGTCTCCACTGTTTGTGTCTTCACTCTCTCTCCAGGATGTATTGATGGCGTGGTGGGCCTGGCAGCTCGAGTGGCTTTAATCCAGGTGCCATGGCTCACCTTGGAGGAGCAGCCGAACCCTGATCTGACCTCTCACATCGCAGCACTGGAGGCAATGCTGAGTGAGATGCAGATGAGGGTGAGGCAGATGCAGAGAGAGGGAAACTGTTCAGAACAGATTGAACATGACAAGATTTGACCTGCAGACCAGACACTGGTCTGAAGGAGTGTCTTGTACTTTGGGGGAGTCTCTTGTACCTGGTAGAGTCTCTTGTACATTGAGTCGTGTCTTGCCGTGTTCTGCAGGTTCCTGTTGCATTCTGGTCGGTAGAGGCGACCCAGCCAGCATGGGCCGAAGCTTGCGGTGACCTGGAACAACCGGATGATACCCTGGAGGACCTGATGGAGGTTGAAGTCGTCTCTAACAACAAGATGATCTGCTGCCAGCCACCATGCTGTGGACTGGGCTGTGTCGGGTAGAGGAAGCGAGGCCCCAACTGACATCACCTGGATTAATCATACCTGACAACATGACAGGATCCTCATATCTGTGTATGAATCATTCACGTTATACAAATAAACGTCATTGTTCATTATTTTACTACTAACACTGTTGGAGTACAAATGTTTCTAGAGATTTTTAGAATCCATAAGAAGAGAAGTCAAAATATTTTTTGAGTTAAATGTAACAAATATGAGAATAAACTCCTGGTCCCCGCATGGGACAAACTGGACATGGATATGATCAGAACATCTTTATGGACTGACCTCATCCTCTTCTTTAAGGAGGGATGGCCCTGAACTGCCTCACTCAGGTCCGACAGCAGAGTCGGGAGAACCGGCACAAAGCAGCTCAGGGGGAGGAAGATAAAGTGGAGATGTTGAACAATGAAACTAGTTATTGATATATATCTGTGTGTTGCTATGTGTATATCATATGTTTTTGTGTACTGGCTGTGAACAAAGGTCCCTCTGGGACAAATAAATCGACATCTGTAGTTTTGAGTCCAGATTTTCACTACGATGTCATCACCAGAGAGAGAGACCAGTCATGTGATGTCACTTCTATAAAGCTATGTATTTGATGTGAACTCGCCATCAGTCATGAGTTCCTGCTGCAGCCTGCAGACACACAAACGTTACTGTTACAGTGTTGAAACGATACATCTTTATACCGCAATGTATTTATATTTATTGACTTTGTCTCATGAACAGATGAACTAGTTTTACAGATTTGTATACACACACAAGATAAGAAACCTGTAAAGATTTTTATCTGCTCGTGATGACAGTACATGACTGGACACTAAATTAAGGAGTGTTCAGACAGTTGGGGTCATTGAGGGAAGGCTTTGAATCAGTCTTCCCCCTGAATCACCTGCAGTATTTCTATCCAGAGGAGGTAGGCACATTTCATCTCAGTCCATCATCGCAACTGACGATATGATTTAGTCAAAAACATTTACAGCTACATCAACTCTTGAACAATCACGCACAATTCAATAGAACTATTAGTTAGTCCACAAGTTCCTTCATTGTCTCTCTTCTCCTGCTGTAGCTTGACCAGTTGCTGTGCAGCAGTAAAAAGACGTGAGACGTCAAGACGTTGATGGAGGGCTGTCGATCGGGCCTCGGCTACACACATGACAGGTGAGACCACGCTCTTTATTTATAATGGAGCACCATTAGATACGGGTGCAGACTCTCTACATAACGTCTGTCTAAGTAACTTTTGTTTTGAGACAAATGCTTGACGTGTATTTCCTCCCGTGTTTTTGCAGCCGTGCCGTACGGTTCCTGTTCGAGGTGCAGAGCAGCTTTAAGGCCGAGCAGCAGAGACTCTTTCTGCAGTTTGTCACAGGAAGCCCCAGACTGCCTGTTGGTGGTGAGTCACTTCAGAAACACAAACACTTGACATTAAACCTTTTCAGCCTTTTGACAAGTAGTTGAGGGGTTCAAATCTACAGGGATTTGGACAATTAGACACAAAAAAAGTTCTCAGCGTTATCCTTTTACTTTATTTTCATATAAAGAGTTTATTTGCATGAAAACACCTAGCCAAAACTACATTTTATAAGATTACAGTTGAACGCATCATGATATCGCTGTACTTTGCCTTCGACCAATACAAGTTCTTACTGTTGGGATCCTGAACGTACCATAATGTAACTTAATGCAACTTCTGTTAATGTTAGCGCCGTTATAAGCAGGACTGTGTTAAAGAGGGACTCTGTCACTGTGATTACTTTGAGTAGCAAAGAATGACAATGACTGACGATACAATAGGCCTACATGTCTGATTAAGTTCATTGTTAGCTCCGTTATTTAGCCAAGAAGGACTGTGCTTCCAACTGGAAGCTAACGGCTAACGTTACCTAGCTCTCCTCATGTCTCTACTGTAACTTTGCCCGTTATCTGGCTCTTGTGTCTCAGGTTTCCGGAGCCTGAAACCCCGTCTGACCATCCTGAAGAAATTAATCGATTCGACACACGATCCTGGCGAGTTCTTTCCAACGGTCACGACCTGTTTTAATAACTTGTCGCTGCCCGAATATTCTAGCATACAAAAATTGAAGGAGAAACTTTTGATTGCGGTCCGTGAGGGCCAGTAGTCTCCAGATTAAAATGCCTTCTACAGTGACTGGTGAAATCACGACTTCCTTCTTAGTTTTTTGTAACCACATACATCAAGGCTACATGTACGGCCTTCTTGTTAGAGAAAGCAGCTTGCAGAAAAATGAAGACTTTAAATATATATATTTGCTGCCCCCGGTCTCTCCAAAAAACATCAAAAAATAAAAAGAAGAAAAGTGCTCCATGACTCACAGAACTTAAAATATAAAACAGAGAGAGAGAGTAAAACTTATATCAGTAGTTAAAACAAAAAAAGATGAAACCATCTGGGTGACATTTTAAATTGCATTGCTATGTGATATTTAAAAAAAGGGATGTCTCCTCTCCAGAGTGGGGGACAGACTGGAAATGTACTGTTAGCTTAAACCCCCTGGTCTCTTTTGTAAACATGTTAATCCACTGATCAGCCACAAACATGACAGAATCTTCATTCTAAGAAACTCACTGAAGTGAGAATCCATGACACAGTATCAGAGGGGCTTTCTTCAACAGGATTACCTGTTTGAATGAAGGATTAATAGAAACATATAGTGGATGTATTTAATGAAACCAAGCAAAGAGCTTCAATCGTGTAATCCTATAAAACACTCTCACCTCTGAGTTGTATTGACTCTGAAGTACAGAAACAAACATCCAGTCATTTATTGGCTCAATGTTACAGAACGTTAACACTTTCAGCGCTGTGCTGTTTGCTGACAAAGACACTCTGATGATGTAATGTCAACAAATGACATGTGGAGTATCGATAGGCACACATATGAGTAAGTACTAAGCAGTACACTCCAAAACATGAAAAACTTTTTTTATCAATAAACAGTCAGTGTAGCGTTAACATAGCACCTTTATGTTTCTTTTATTTTTAAAAGCCACCCCCACCAGACCTCCCAGGAGTCTGCTATGGCTCTGTCAACTTTTGACTCTGTGGCACTGGGGTCGGACCATATGACAGCCTCTATAAAATTAGGAGAATAGCATTATTGAATATAGTAAATCATGAAATGAGAGACTTTGACTGTACAACCATTCATTAAATGTATTTTGCATATTAGAACATATATTACCTTTAACCACAGAGTACAGTTCAGTTTCCCTGAAGGGACTCTTGTTCCTCTGACCACCTCCTTTCATGTTGAAAGTGGCCATTAATCTGTTTGTGAAAAGTCTGTGAATAAGAAAACGCAAAGTGTCACTTCGGCAGTTTCAACTCCCAGTAATGCTCACCTGTTTAGAACGGCTAAAATAAAACTTTCAAAATACAATTTCATCCTTAAAATATATATTTCCCCCCCCCCGTCTTAAAACTAAAATATGACTAAGCACCAGTTAGTTATCTGAATAAACAGTGTTCACATTAATATAATAAATCCCACTTCAGTAGTTCTTAGTCGGTTTGGTGCTTTATACATCAGACTTTGGCTCCCTAACAGCAGGGATGCCGGCTGGTGAAGCAGTGAATCATGGGAAGACATTCATGTTGAGGTTTGTTTAGCTGTAAATTAGAAAAGCAAATTAATATTTTAATTAGATCACATGGAGACGAGATTGTTGCCAATCTCAAATAAAGGTCTACTTGTTGTATTTATGTAGTTTATTTGATAGAGAGGACTGTTACTCATAGAGAAATGTATTGCAGCATTAATAGCTTCTGCTAATTGGTTCCTAATTTTCCTGGTTAGCAAAGCAGTTATCGTTTTTTCAGCAGTGGCCTCGAAAGTCCCACAGAGTTGAATTCCAAAAATTAAAGAAACTAAACTTGTTTCATCTGATGCATAAACATCAAGCTCATTCTCACAATCAGCTTTAATCGTTTCAAAACGATAAAAATATCAAATATTACACCTCTGGCTAGAAGCTGACTACCAGTTTGGAAAAGTTTAGGCTCATCTGGAAAACTAATTAGCTGTAAAGTTAATATTTGTGGTGAAACAGCAGCTGGTGTAGAAACACACATTTTTTAATTATCGTATATTTGTGATCAATGTCTTTTCTACATTTTAAAAAAAGAGAAGCTTTTATACGATGTAAGAATGAAGTGTTTCAGTGAAATTAACGTAAGATGTTGATACAGATACGCAGCTGATATCTGAAGGTTTACCAACAGCTTCTGCTCCAATAAAGCCTCAGTCAGTGTGTTGAATTAGGAACTTTATTGACACAGCAAGGTGGACAAACATAAAAATATTTTACAAACACAGAAGGCAAATAGACAGAAGAAGAATAAAACGTGGAGCTGCTTCAATTCTGGAAGGTCGAATGTAGATGAGTTTTAAAGGCTGAAAGAGACAAAACAGCCGTTACAAATACATCTCCCATCAGCCCCTGCTTCCCATCTGGTCTCCCCGCAGATCTGTTGTACAGTGAAACAGCTGCAGTTCAGTTGAATCCGCCGATAACCCTCAATGACAGACCTGATTACGGAAGCTCAAATATTTGACCTAACAACTTTTGGGACTTATTGGGCTCGTTTACGATGAGCCAGGCAGACGCAGACCAACGCAGTTGCAATCACCGTCTGGCCGAGTGCATCGTATGGTGGTCAGTCATTTTGTCCGACTCACTCTGGAGGCTCGACGGAGTGAAACGTCACGGGACAAAAGACGCCCGCAGTCATGAGCAGTTTCACTCCTCGAGCTGAAACGCTCGAAAGGAAGTGACTTGTCAGTATATCGAGCCTAGCGCTCATTGGTTTTTTTTTTTTTGGTTGTTTTTTTTTTTAGCAAAGGGGCCGTTGATTAACCTCAAAGAAATAATATCCACCAATGTACACAAGTTTATGGAAAAAAGTATTTTTGAGCCCCGTGTCATCACAGGATGGACCAGGAAGTTGTAATTAAATTACAGTGAACGCGGCAGCATTTAGACGTGATGTCAGTGAACGCGGCAGCATTTAGACGTGATGTCAGCAGCCTCTCACCTTCTTGGTCATCCCAGAGTTCAGCAGCAGTTGTGTTCAACGGACTCTCATTGTTTGGTTCTGAAACAAACATCAATGTGTTGTTTACACAAATGTGTACATGTCAACAAGGCTTGATAGTAATGGCTGCCATTGGAAACTACTTTTTAACATAAATACAAAAACAATACGGAAGGCAATAGCAAAATATAGCAAACATGAGTCCAAAATTAATACAATGTTGGTGTTTCCTGCATTAGTGATAACAACGTTACCTCCCAGCAGGCTCTGGATGGACAGCAGGATGGAGCGGACGTCGTACAGCGCCGACCACTTGTCCTTCAGGATGTCCAGACAGATGAAACCTTGTTCGTCCACGTTGGGATGAAAACAGGAAGTGACGAACTTCACGCGTGGAGCCTGATACGGATAACCGGCAGGAAACTCCAGAGACAACCGGTACCTGAGACCCTCGTACACCTGAGAAACATAAAAGGTAAACTTTGTTTTTACAGAGGTAAAAAAGTGTTACCTCTCACTACAGCTGGATTCTCTCAACGTCATACTCTCAGAACTGGAGAGTAAAGAACACTGATGGCATTTCTAATTTTCTTCTCTTTTCCCGACTGTCTCTAAAAGTTTGATCGAGAGATCAGGCAGTGTTTACAGTGCCGCTCTGACGTCACATGATCATCATCATTGAATATCAACCAATCACTGCTTTCCGTCTGTGCGTGCGTGCGTACCGTCCCCTGAGCTCCGTTGATGGTCCCGATCCATTTGAAGAGATTATCTGATTCTGGAAACGCTGAGATTCCCTTATCACCTGACATCTGCATCGACAACACACACAGAGAGAGACGTCACATGATGTCATCACCGCATCACCAGAGAAAGAGACCAGTCATGTGATGTCACTTATGTAAAGCTATATATGTATTTGATGTGAACTCACCATCAGAGTCATGAGTTCCTGCTGCAGCCTGCAGACACACAAACAACATTACTGTTATAGTGTTGAAACGATACATCTTTATACCTCAATGCATTTATATTTATTGACTTTGTCTCATGAACAGATAAACTAGTTTTACAGATTTGAATACACACAAGTTAACAAACCTGTAAAGCTTTTTATCTGCTCGTGACGAGACAGTACATGAGACACATCAGCAAACATTACTGTTGGTTAAACACTTGAGTGAGATCAGTCAAGAGGCCGTAACACAGTCGTTGTAGTCGGTACAGCGAGTTACAGCAGAGACAGTCTTGTTTGTGTCTTCTCTCACCGTTTGGACACCGAGCTTCTGGCCGAGCTGCCGGTGCTCTCACTGCCCTTCAGAGCAGCCGTGGACGAGGCTGCTGCCGCTGCGGGGTCCATGTTCTGGGAGGCCATGAGTGCAAGATGGTGCGTTCACTGCTGGATGAGACAAGACAGGCTGTCAGACAGGCGGTCCGACAGACAGACAGGCAGGCGGTCCGACAGAGAGACAGGCAGGCGGTCCGACAGAGAGACAGGCAGGCGGTCCGACAGAGAGACAGGCAGGCGGTCCGACAGAGAGACAGGCAGGCGGTCCGACAGAGAGACAGGCAGGCGGTCCGACAGAGAGACAGGCAGGCGGTCCGTCAGAGAGACAGGCAGGC